AATATTTTTTATAGTGTACTTAAAACAATAATATATGTATACTTAAATGATTATAATTGAAATACACGTTAGTCATCTGCATACTTGCGAGGTATCTGCTAGTCGATCATTCTACTAAACTACACTCTACTATGCATACTTGTTTCTCTAATTTACGCTGTGGAAAAGCAACTTGATTGCTCTGTAGCTTATGCTTATAAAGCCCCCTTCCACGCTCTTTCACTCACTCTCTCTCTCTCCTTCTTCTACTATTTGCTAGAGTTGCCACTTACTTGCGGCAACATTTACTTAACACCAAAATGCAACAGCAGCATCAGCGTCAGCAACAGCAACAACAACAACAACAACATTGTAAACGCATTGAGCTGCAAATTGTATTTAAAATTGCATCGACTTCAAAAAGAAGTACGGAAAATATGTGTGTATATTGAGTGGAGACTGTATATTCAACGGGCGCATAAAAGTATGCAACATTCTTAGCTGGAGCGCGTTACCCATGCGAAATGAACTCGATTTTCAGTGGGGCTTTGCAGTTTACTCTGTGCTCACAGTTGCGATTCAAACGAATTCGATTTTTGTGAACTTTATGCAAATGCAATGTTGACATGCAACCCTCTCACACACACAACCACACTAAGAAGTGTATTCTTTTTATTTTTTTGGGGCAGATTTATCGGATATTTTTCAGCTGGCAGCAGCTCAATGGACTGCAAGAGAGTTGCAAATAAAATATAAAGCTGCACCATATCTGAATCGATGCAAAAGATCAGAGGAATTTAACTTAAGCTATGCTTATGCAAAACATCAAAGAGTAAATAATCCCTAATAAAAGCCTCGTTCACATAAATAGAACCCTTAGTAACGTTGGTTTAATGAAAGGAGTAAGAACTAATATCTAGATGATGCTTTGCTCTTTCATAAATTTGCTTGAACTTAGCTTTTGTAAAATATCAAAGAGTAAATATCCCATGGCAAAGAAATATTTCATTGCCATTAAGATTAAAATACAAATTTAGTTTTAGTAAGTAAAGGAATTTTCGCTCTTTTGTATAATAAATTTGTGTCCGAAAAGAAAAATAATAATAATAATAATAATAAGCTGAAAATAAACTTAAAGTCATTTCAATCTCTGCTCAGTGTGAACTTAAACTACAAACTCTCTTTTAGTTTGAGCTTATGAAATCTCTTTGCTAATGCACACGCCTCCCACCATACATGGACAAACGCGCACTTTATAATCCGCTCTCACACTCATTCACTCTCTCTTTCGCTTTGTGTCTATTTTACAGCGGATAACGGTGCGTCGGGCGCTTCGAGCGCTGCTCAGGCAATCTTTTGGCGCGTTTGGTTATTGAAGCTTATGGAGGCGTTGCCATTGCAGCACATGGCAAAGCTGCACCGACACATCAACAGGCATCTGGCAAAGTGGGCGTGTCACTTTGATGCGTACACCGCATGGCTAAGCGTTGCACTCGCGCTGCCGCCCCTCTGCTGGCTGTGGATGCGCCATCAAATTAACAACTGTCAATATGCCAGCGACAGTGCAGCGACGCAACAGACGGCTAGCGACGGCGACGGTGGCAGAGATGGCAGCAACGATGGTGACGGCGACGGCGACGGCGAAGTTGCCAATGTGACAATGTCAAAGACAGCGCCGAGTGAGAGCGACAAATGCTTTTATAATTGTCAAATGGCATTGGCAACACTTTTGCAACGCAATAATGATGATTACGACGTTGATGATGATGATGATGATATTGACGATATTGCTAACGCTGATGTTGCTGCTACTGATGATGATGATGATGATGATGATGGCAATTCTGGCGTTGATTTAACTGCAGCTGCAGACCGAGCAACACTAAAGCGCCAACATCAACAGCTGTCAGCGACACTTGCTAAAGTGGGCGCGGCCTCGCAGCCGGATCAACGATTATTGATGACATGCCCAAAGCTAGCAGCGGCAGCGCCATGCTGATGCTAAATTGATGATGAAATGCATTTCGAAAAGTAGCTTAAGGTGCTGCCATGCGAACGAATGGGCACATTTCTCTTAACCATATTTGTTTCTTTCTCTTATTTGTTTTTACACGCGCAATAATTAATGTCACAAGCGGCAAACAGCAAAGCAAAACAAAAATAAAAAAGGAAATTTACAGTTCGCCCTGGCTAAAACGCACTTAAGACGTTGTGAAGCCAATTTCGGGAGAAGCAAAACAAAGAAAAGCAAAGAGAAGCTTAAGTATATTATAGTATATTAAGAGAGCGTAACTGGTAATATGTTAATATATGGTATACATAAATGTAATGAGAGTAAATATAAAAACTTAACAAAAAAATAAATAAATAATCTAATTATATAAATATATACAACATATGTAYGCAAACAATTAACAGGTGAAGCTCATAGAAGTAGAGTTAATTATTATAAGTAATACACAAAATATATTTAAATGTTTGTATATGTATAAAACGCATTAGAAATTAGTTAAGATTATCTTTACATAATTTTATTACATTTTTAGTTTTGATAGCAGTTTGAGAGTCATTGTGTGTTCTCTTCAGTTAATTTCCCTTGAAATGTCCGAATGTGAATTTTAATTTCCCATTTTCTCTGCAGATTTCGCCGTTTGAGCTTGCTCTCACTATGATTTCACATTCATGCCGAAATAATGGAGTTACTCACTACTCTTTAGATCACAACATAAAGCAAACCCAAATAAAAAAAACATAAAACAAAACAAACATTTGTATGAACTAGTATAATCACTAGCCCTATTTTTATTTCTGTCCACTCTGCCGCTCTTTTGTTTCATTTAATTTCAAATATTCGTTAGACAGCAACAGCTACACTCATATTTTAAGTTACAGAAACATATTCAATCAGAAATTCTAATCTCTCGTTGTTTACATCACATAAGCTATAAAGATCTGCGAAAAGCTTTGACTGCGCTTTGAATTTGCACTTGAGCTTAGCTTTTATATGTATATCGTAGTGCAATTTAAAGTACAGTAAGAAGCGTAAACCACAAAAGAAGCAGCTCTCTCGCTCACTCACCCGCTCACCATGGATTTTGTAAATAAAGTTCTGCTTATCAGTAGAATAAGGGAATAGGAATACATAAGAAAGAGCATAATAACAGCATAATATATAGAAAGGAACTTTTTACGGTTTTGGAAGTATGCAAAATTAATTACAAAAAAATTTTCATTTGTAGACGCAAAAATTATAAATAAATATCAGCTTAATCGACAAAAAACATTTCTTAAATAATAAAAATCAAAATTCTGTTTTCAGCAAACTAAACATTAACAAGAAATTATTTGAAAATTTTTGGCAAACAAAAATCCAACGGTAAATAGTTCCTTTGCCTTATAAATAAAAACAAAAGTGGATGAAAAACGCAATATGTAAATGAAATAAAAATAATTGAAAATATTGATTGAACAGAAAAAGTTGAAAAAAAAAAGTTTTGGAATTTTCTAGGAAGATAAATAAACAGGAAATTTAATTAATAAATAATATTATAATGAAAAATTAAAATAATTGTATATAGCTAAATATACTAAGAAGTTGTCAAAAAAAAAAAAAAAAGAAAAAAAAAACAAAAATTGTGAATTTATGGTTAGTAAGTTTTTATGTGTAAATGTTAAATAATATATATATATTTAGATATATAACAGCTATAAATGCATGCTAATCAAAAAAAAAAAGTGTTGTGAAAGTTGTCTTCCCTGATTTTTGGTTTGTGTTTTACTCAATATTACTGCAAAGATTTTTTTATAATTTAATATATTTTCAGTTTTCTGCTAAGCTTTATAAACAAAAATATATATTTAAAAAAAAAAAGAAAAACAAACATTAATATGTAAAAGTTATTTATAAACTGTTAGTGTATATAGAAAAGCGTAGAGAGAATGAAAATCGAATTTTTGTTGATTTAACTTTTTTAAATTATTCAAAAAATTAAAAATACTCAATAAAACCTTAAAAAAATTGAAATAAATTTGAAACATAAATGTTGTTTAAATAGATTTAGAATTATATACATATATATTATGAATATTAAAAAATAATGAAATGCAAAAGCTTACATTGAATATATAAAAAAAAAAAAAACATATTCATATCCAT